ACATGTCACCACGGTAGGACAAACCGACAGACAAGTTTGTCTTGCTGTTAGAGACCTCTCGTATCACCCCCACCTGGGTCCCTGTGGCTGACTATACCTCTGTCTGGCTTCCTGGCTTTTAATCCCCTTTCTCCTGCTCTTCTGGCCTGCTGATTTGGGTGTCCCTGAGTTGTCCCTGAACTGAGGCAGTATCACTACAGAAATAGATTGCCCAACCTTCCTTCCGAGGAATAATGGCTGGTGGGTTTGAACCACCAGCCTTCTGGTTAGCAGTCAAGTGCCTTAGATGCTACGCCACCAGAGCTACCATGTTTAAATAATATATGTAAATATCATGTGCCTCTTTTTTGATATTTTCTTAGTAACCTGTATGCTAGTATTAGAAAGATGTTGCCTCAGATTTTCTTCAGAAAGATTGATTTTTGCCTAAATGAAATTATTTACACAATGAGCCACTAGAATTAAGGTCTTTGTTTTTGCATTTCCTTTGCACAAGGGTTCCCCACCTCTCAGCCAGCATTCTTTACAGCATTTTTTCTCACTGTATGAAGGACCAGTTGTATTAGAACCACTGGGTTTTAAAACCCAGAAATTTTAGTTCAGTGTGTGTGGGATGAGGCCCTGGATTCTGTTTTTAACAACTATCCCTGGTGATTTATATGTAGACTGATGTTTGAGAATCACTGGACCTAGTGATCACAGAGTTTTTAAGTCCTTAATTATCTGCTTTTTCCCACTTTCTGAATTTGGAATTGGGAGAGTTAAGTTCAAGTCTTGGTTCTACCACTATCTTGCTAGTGGTCTTGGGCAAGTCACTTAAACTCTGGAACTATTTCTTCATCTATGCAGTGGGAAAAATGATGTGTTCTCTGTTCACCCTCCAAATGAGATGATAGCTCTATTTTATAAAGTGCCAAGGAGCTCTGGATTGCAGTGCCTAAAGGCATTTAACTGGTGACCAGAAAGTTGGCAGTTCAAACCCACCAGCTGCTTCACAGAAGAAAGATGGTACAGTCTACTTCCATAAAGATTTACTGCCTTGTAAACCCAATAGGTGCCACTATGAGTTGAAATTGACTCCTTGGCAGTGGGTTTTTTTTTT